TTGATTCTATGATTCTATGACAGCACAGCCGCAGCACTCGCAGTGCCGCTCACTGCAGGAACCCCCGGCAGAGCTGCTCCTGCAGCGCCAGGCGCGGCCGCAGGAGGGCGCCAGGTCCGCGCTGCGCCCGGGACACGTTACCTGAGCCGCGTCCAGACTCATCAGCCACTGGGCTTCGCAAAGAAGAGTTGTCTTCCTGTTTATACTTTTCTTTTTTTTCTGCAAGGAACCCCAATAGGCACTTCATAGCCTTCAGGCAGAAGCTAAAATAATCTAGGAGAATATTCAGGTAGAAGCTAAAATAATCTGGTATATTACCCCACTGAAGCTTAGCACATCTTTATCTCAGAAAGCAGGTTGGGAAGCAGAGTGGCAGGAAGGTCATCTTCATAAACTGTGGAACCCTGACACAAGAGCTGATCTCTGCTGCTTTTGGAAAGCAGTTTCTGAAGGTCAGAACCCTTGATCTTCCCATAATTGTCTTCAACTGACACAGGGTGTAATATACTTTCTGCCTTTGTGGTGCAGACATTGTGTGATGTTATACAGCCTTAACTTACAAATACTTTAATTTTATGGATTCTCCAGACCTAATTTGCTCAGAAATCAGAATGGAACATATTAGACTCTGCTCAATCTTGATCCACAATGCCCTATAGAAAATAAATGTAACTGTGGAGGGGTATGAAACAGAACCTGCAGAACTCTCTGGGCCAAGCCTAAGAGTAAATTATACATGTAGGCGATAATGAAATACCTCTGTGATATATTTTTCTTTCAAATTCTGTTTTCTAAAATTAATCATGACTAGTTATGTCTATAATGGGACACTACACTGGGAACTTCAGCTGCCTGCAGTGCACAGTCCCAGCTTTGTGTGTACCTGTGTCCTGAGGGCTGTACCAGGCTCTGGAATAGACACAGTCATGATCAATGTGCTTAACTTAAACTTCTGTGGTGCCCCTTGTGCAGTGCTGATGGCTGTGTCTGGAAGTGGAAGGAAGCAGTAAGCTCTCTTCATTTCCATAGTTCAAACAGTTTAAGGTCTGAAAATGAGCCCCAAAGGAGCTTTATGTTGGAAGCCTTTTACCTCAGCATACAAATCATAAATTAATTCTAAAAAATTGAGTAGATGACTCCCAAAAAGAAACTGTCCCTTTCCTTCACTGTGGTTTCTCACGCAGTCTGAACACAGGACATGTTTCTGAGAAGGGAGCAGGGGCTGCTTTCAGTTTGCACCACACTGAAAACCTTGGGATACAAACACAGCCAACCTTGGCCAACATTCCTCTGTCCACAAGGGACAGGGAAGAGATGATGCAGTGATGGACATAACACCTGGTGTTAGCCAGACAAGAGCAGATGAGAAATATTTACACCATCTAGTTACCTCAAGAGGGAGAGCAGAGGAGTTGTGTGCATTACTACAGAGTAGCTCTGAGTACATCCCCTGTCCCAGAGCTCATTCAGATAGGAAGAGGCAGGAGACATCTGAAAGCAGTTTATAAATCAGGCTGTTACTTCCCAAACATGATGTTTTGAAGCCCAGGACACTTCTGTGCAGTCTTCACCATTTTGGCACTCCACCTGAACTTACCTGAAAGTACCAAATACGCTTTGCTGAGAGCAGGAATCCCAGAGACTGCAAACGAAAATGTCCACCCTAATTCATCTTCCTCCATATGCTCCAGCATAAGGTACAACTCGTGTATTAGAAACCCAAACGGACAACAGTTTACAAGCTGTTCAGTCCCTGTGGACTGCACTCCTGTGACTAAGATTGTCTAGACATGAAACCATCTAGAAATGAAACCATGTATAAACCATGTGGATTTTGGTAGTTTTCATCCATTTTTACGTTCACGAGAAGCCTAATCTGACAAGATATGAAATATGAGGTTGGATATTAGCTTACCTAGTTTAACTGCTTTTTTTTCAGACTTGGCTGTGTAGAAAGGACTATTAACACCAATGGTGGTTGTGCTGGCACCAACCTGAGAACTTCACTGCACAGGGTGGTAAGTAACCTGACTAAGCCTTGGAATGTGCCTGCAGTGCTACACTGGTAACAGGATTAGTCAGTCATTGAAAACAAAGGTCTTTAATGCTCCAGCTCACACTCTACTGATTTTACCCTGTAATACCAAAGCTCAAATGGTGTGAATACAAATCTTATTTGCAGCTATTGCTGCCTAAGAGGGGAATGTAAAACACTCTGCCATGAGCCTGGCCCAGTCTGAGGGAGAGACTGAAGCTCTCACTGCCTTCATTTCTAACAGCCTCCCTTCTATTAAGGCATATCTAAGGTTCCACCCATATTCTTAGCTCCTGTTTTACTTTATGGACACAATTTCATAAACAAAGCTAATTATGATTAATAATGACAACACACCAGCATGTAAGAAGGCTGAAGACATCCCCAGTTAAGTTTTAAAGCTTTGATTCAATCTCCTTTGCTAAGCCCTAGCTTCGGCAGAGCCAGATCTGATTTCAATTAGGGAAGGCAAAACTCAAACCATGTCCAGTCAATTTCCTCTGTATGGGCTTCTGAGATCCTAAGAGTCCACGTGTTACATCATGTGCTTTTGAATCCCACTTTTGATTGAAACTTCTCTCAAAACAGAAAATCCCACTTGAAAAGGTAACCTTTCCACACACATCACGTGTATGCAGCAAAAGACAGTGACAGTTGTAAGGAAAATCTTAGTACCACTTCCATTTCATTCGAGGATTACTTGTAATCCTTGTAGCACTTACAGTAAAAATAACTTGAAAGCTCATTTTTATAAGGAAGCACTCCTTGCAAATTACCTGTTACACACCAAAGACTTTCACAGTCACCTCAGTATCACTAAATAATTTAATTTCTCTTCTGTAATCCAAAACAACCCAAACCAGAATGAAGAGCATTAAGCAAACATCTTTCAGCATCCAGGTAAGAACTGAACAAAACTGAAAATCCAGTCAAAGGGAAGGAATATTCATTCTCTCCATCTTAAAAGGCACTAGAACAAAGGATGTGGATGCAAGCCTGAACACAGCTCCTTTCTCTCACTGGTTCTGTAAAAAAAAAAAAAATGTAACCAACCATTTTAATGTTGCAGCTTTATTTGAAAGAAAGTGACTTTAGAGTTTTTGGTAACATGTTTTTTTAATACAAAATTGATACAACGAAAAAGAAACATCAGCAGTGTCCTCAAACAGATTACAGGCTGTAAACTCAAAATGTACTATATCAGAAAAGGTAACTCTGAAGAGCCTTTTTTTGCAGACCAGCACCAAGTGATCCCAAAAATCTAGTTTTACTCTACATGCCAAAACCCCTCAAATCCCACTCAAATCCTCACTTCCTGGTGAGGGTTTTGTTGTTGTTCTATCTCGCTGTATTTCCAATTTACAGTAACAGCAGTGACTGTACACAAGAAACACAACAAGATTACTTCAGTGAGTAAAGATCAGCTTTTACACACCTGGTACTTTAAAGGCTTCTAAGGAGTCATGGACAACAAGGTATTTGGCCGAAACTTCATGAATTGCCACTTCTAAGGAACTCAGAAGTCCACAAAATAAATTCCAAAGCCCTGGAACAGTTTCTTTTGAAATATTTCATTTCAGCAGGTAAATTCATAGATCTTGGGATCACAATTTTTATACCTGTGTCTGCAGCGCATCCAAATCCCATCCCATAAACCAGCAGTACAAACAGGACCGAGGAGAAAGAGAAAAAACAAAACAAAACAATCTATGCAATACTGCAATATTTTTTACCATTCTTACCACATGCTCCGTAGAGAGTAAGGCTCCTCCCAAACCCCTTTTGTTTTCATTTTTACCTTTGTCTGAAATCAAGTTTCTCAAATAGAAAATCTATTTTGGGAACCAATTTTCTCATTATAAACACAGTTCCTCAAAAGTCCCATTTCGGAGGATAACTGTACAACTTGGTTTCATGCCACACTTGTAAGCACACTGTCCCTCCAAATTAAGGCTGTAGTGATCTACCAGACAGGGCAAAATATTAACACCCCAACTGTGAAATAACAGCTACTGCAATCCTTACAGTTGCTGTTCTCTGTACCCCACAAAACAAAATGGTTCTGAATCATGAAGTGTGGTGCAATCACATTATACTTTGTAGAAGACTGCAGGGGTTTCCTGCTCTCTACTAGGCTGCTTCTCACTTCATGATTCCTGGGCTCATCAGTCTGATTTGTTTTACTATGGCTGTTCATGTAAGTGCTCTAGGAACAGCATCAGCAACAAAGGATGATTTTGTAACCCCAGTAACCCCAGAACATCTGCAATTTGAAGTCTTCCCTAAAAATTAGAAAATTTCCTGAGAAATTCCACTTCCTTTTCAAGTTCTTTGCCTTTTCCTTTCATCTCTGAAACATGTACCAGTCCTCCTTACCACTGCTATCCACCCTGTGTTACCAATGTAAACAAAACCCAGTGGCAGAATAATCAAGTTTTGCCAGTAAAAAAAAAACAAACCACCCTAACATTAGGTCTTTGTTCCTTTTAGGAAGTTGCTGCAGCATTTAGAGACCAAACTTCACGCATTCTATTGCTCAAAACCTTGCTCCTAGGTCCTCTGCAATGCTTTTGATCCTGGTATTAAAACAGAAGAGGTACTGAACATAGGAGGTGCTCACAGGAACATAGGCAGGAGTTTCTGTGATTTTCTAGCGACATAAATTTGTGTGCCACACAGCTGCTTGGTGTCTGGTGACATTTACAATGCAGATTTGGTTCTCCTGTGAGGCTGACGAGTCACTGGCACTGAACAGTTTTGCCATAGCCTCCTCTTCCAGCATCATAGTCTTGCCAATACTCATCTCGGACCTTGCAAAGGAGGTAAAAAAGGGAAGTCCAGTAAAGACAAACAATTTCACCAAAACTGTTACAACCATCAGAATATAGTCACACTGAGTTAACAACATGTAAGTGGCCACATGAAGCTGACTGACAAAACAGAAGGCAAAGTGCATCGTGCATAAGAACAGCATGAACCAATTTCCTGTTCAACAGCATCCAGGGGACTCCTTCACCAGGACAGCCACGGCGCGGATGGGCAGCCTCACACTCAGGTGGTGAAAGCCACTGCCACCTGCTCCAACTTGGGTAAGCCAACTGCTGTCCTCTGTGTTCCTGACAGCCTTACATCTTCTGGGCTTGCTTATAAGCATTATCTCCCCAGGCAGCCAAGAGCTGTTTCTACAAGTACTTTTAGATACATATATGAAAGTTATTTATTCTAAGTGGATAACACAGTCATTGAACAGATGTCTTACAGACTAAGGCAGACCAAGGTGTTACACTAAAGTGTTATCTGAAGCAATGACTCCCCAGTTGCTGCTTCTGAAGTTGTTCTGTGTTCATTCAGAACCAAGAAATTTGGCAAAGTCACCAGTCCCTTAATTACCCAGGCTGTGCAATAACCTACCTGCCCCCCTGATCTTCCATGGCCATACTGCCTACCCTCCTTAAATCCTGCATCCCAGTCTGTCCTTATGATCCTGCCATCCAGTCTGGTCCCGCTGATGTATCGCACTGCGTTTTCAGCATCTCCTCCTGCATAATACCTTAGGAACAGGTTAATGAAAAAAAGGGCTTCTATTTTCAACAATGGGTAAAAGAACAGTATCAAATGGGCTGCAAAACCAAGTCTTTGCCTGAACAAGGTTCCTGCTCAGTTACTTCCAAAACCAACTGTTTTTATCAAACTACATGAGCTGGGAAAGCTGGTAGTGAAAGAGAGCAACATGCAGGAATTCAAGCATTGCAAATGCTTAGTCTTAAGTTTGTTAACCACTCTCAGCATTAACAGCACGAAATTTTACTGCTAAAGAAGGAATGAGAAGCCCCAGCATGCTCCACTCATGCTGCAAACTTCCACCATTGTGGCAAGTTCCCTGGGACCAGTAAGAGACTGATCTTCAGAGGTCGGCATGTAATGAACACCACAGGGATTCAAGATGCCAACAAAAACTTTACATGTATGCTCGTATGAAAAGAAAGACCTCTTCACTTGGCCGCTGGCAATATGAACTTACTGCAGAGGCCAACTACCTAAAAAAGTGACTGGGTTAAAGCACCACAGTGAAAGCAACCTGTTAACCTGCCCTCGACGTGTAGTGTTTGTTTGAATCACAGGCTCACGGCCGAAAAAGCCTTTTAAGATCACTGAGTCCAACCTCTCTCTCTCTTGCCCAGGTGTCCCACAGATGTTTTAGCGACCGATGCCTTATCCTCAGACAGCTCTGCGGCGACTCAGAGCCTGCGGTGTGGTGCAGTGAGATGAGATGTGGTGCAGTGAGATCCGCTGTACCGAGACGCAGTGCGGTTCCCCCGCCCAGCCCCGCGGCGGCCCGAGGGGCAGCGGGTCCGTCCCGCACAAGGACACTGCACGAAGCAGAACCCTCAGGACGTTTTCCTCACTTCGCCAAGCCCCACCGAGACCTTCCCGCCGCGGCCTAGTCGCCGAGCGGCTCGC